AGGTAAGGAATGAAACCACCTCGTCGGGGCGATGTTGCGGGAACTCCTCCCTTCTAGGGACCCTCTAGTGCGCCACCTCCTATGGCGGCAGAAACCCCTTTTGGACGAAAGCCTCCAGCATCGACTTCCTCACGGTGGACGACTTCCAGTCCGACATCCTCACTCCGGATTGCAAAAAGGATCAGTAAGTTCTTCTCCTCTCCCTCACTCTCTCCCTTTTCTCTCCTAGAGACCGTCGCGGCTCTCAAGAACGCTCACGGCAAGAAAAGAAGAAGGGCGACAACAGAAGAAGAACAGGCAAAAGAATGGAACAAAAACCTCTCCCTGCTCCTACTTAAAAGAAAAGGGACGGTGGTTAGGGAAGGACACGTCGATCGGGGAAGGCAGAACGTCGGAGCGAGAATTTCTCTCTCTTTCCCATTTAATGCAGACGAGACGTGCCCTACGCCGACGAGACGCGCCCTGCTCGATAGAACAGCTCCTGATCAGGCGGGACATGGCCTGGCCATGGCCCACCACTATAGGACAGACCTGGGAAAACCAAAAACGAAATCTCCACCGGGAGACCAACCGACCCCCTGAGTCGATCGAATCACTCAATATCCACCCCGAGGACACAGGTAGGAAGCGAAGGGACGCCCCATGTGGGCCATGCCGACTCCGTCCGGGGCGGCGAAGCACGGGTCCCGGTCGGACGTTTCCGACTGAAGCTCTCTGAGCCCCGTCACTCCAGTCGTTGAGGTATACACTATCAAAAACCCCTCTATTTCTTTATAAAATCATTCGTACATCCATACGCACATTCATTTCATATGCCTGAACCCCCGGATGATTAGGGCATGAACCACCCGGGGGCTCGGAAACTAAGCATCGCACGTGCAGCGAAATGCACCAGAACGCTCCGTGTTGCATCACGAAGCGGCGGTTGCCTCATTCGACATGGGAAACCAACAGAGCCAGGGGAGAATACCGTAGATGAGCACCGTGCGGCCCTAGCCTGGTCCGGCAGACCGGGTCATCTCAACCTTCTCGTTCGATCCTAAACCTCTCGCTAGGCCCACATAATCTCCATCGAGGGGAGGCCGATAGGCCACCCGGGTCGGTCTCCGGAACGACCTAGGCATCTGTCGGGTTGCAGGTAAAGGAGTAGTGGAATGTCACAAGAGGGCTATGTCAACCCCATCACAAATGATGGACCCGGATTCCACTCGATCATACCCGTTAGCGAACTCACCGAGCTTGTCTTCGAGCCCAAGCGATCGAGACAGGCGATGAAACTCAGCCCCTCCGGTTGTGAGGAACCGAGGATGGGGTAACGCACAATACTCACATCGACCCCCACAAAAAGGCCCGGTAGGGCTCAGGGGCTCAAGATAAAAACGCCAAGGACGGCGACCTCGAACTCGCCAGATCCACGACTCCGACTCGCCCGGTCCCGCGGCGCGCACCGACGCCAGGATCCGCGAGCATCGCCTCGTCCGATCTTTAACCAAACTAACTATGCTTCGGCTTCAAAACGGCTTCACTTCCGACTACGCTCCAAAAAACCTTGGGACCGCGACTCCGAACTCGCGTCGATAGGATCTATGACATCCGGCTACGGCTCTTGGGACCGCGACCTCGAACTCGCGTGGACATGATCTATGACATCCGGCTACGGCTCCTGGGACCGCGACTCCTAAACTTGCGTAACGGCTTCAGACGGCTTCACTGCGCTCTAGTAAAACCTGGGACCGTGACTCCTAAACTCTTGTAACGGCTTCACTTCCGACTGCGCTCTCAGGATCTGCGAGATCCGGCTCGTACGATTCCTGAACTAACTAAACTAACTCTCTTGACCCACGGCGCGCACCGACGTTTAGGTCCATTCGTGGCTCCGCCTCGTCCGATCCCACAACGCACATCGACGCCAAAGATTAGTGAGCTCCATCGCATCTGAACCAGGCTATCTCCATCCGCGGCGAGCATCGACGCCAGGATCAGTAATTTCTATCTCATCTCCGCGCCTAAAAACCACCTCGGCTGCGCAACGACGCCACGGCTAAACAAAGTTCCGTCTCAAACTAAAAAACACTCACACACGCCTGATGAAACAAATACCCCCCTAACGGTTCAAATTTGAACCGCCGGGGCTTTGGAAGAGACTACATGGAGTGGCTTCAAGACAGCACCCGCCGACACAACGAAAAAACCTCTCTCCCGACGACGACACGAAAAACCCCCGATCGGTTTTGCCCGAACCGCCGGGGGCAAGAGCTACACCATGGAGATGCTTCGCGCCACACCCGCAAGAAGATAAAAAATCCCTGGACGATTCGGCTCAAATCGCCGAGGGCTCGGGGAACTCTGTCGGGTTCATAAACCCGGGGTCCCTCGGGGACCGGCTTCCATGCCAGGGCTCGACCCAGGAAAGCAGCATGCAGTCCATGGGCCGGCCCAAAAGTCTAGAATACAACGCGCCGGGAGGACAGTCCGGTTGCCGACCGAGAGGCCTACCCGAAAGGGCAAACACCCGCTCATCAACTTCTTCGGCCCACCTCTCCGACCGGAGCGCTCGCTTCGGGCACCGACCGCCTCCAGGCGGTCCCTCCGATCGGAAGGCCTGGCCCAAAAACGCCGCCTCCTACTCCGACTCCGCGACTCCGACCGGGGACCCGTAGGAAGCCTGCGCACCGCTCTTCTCCGACTGGCGCGGCCAGGGCCGACTGGAGCCATCCGACCGGGGACGCCCGCTTGGAAGGAACCAGGGGCGAACAGAGGAGACAGCGCACTAAGTCAAACCACGATACTAGGACCATACCCTGTACACCTGCGAAAACATTGCTCCACGACCGCCCTGACACAAGCAGTATTGTAGGCGCCGACATTTGTGTCTACAGTATTGTGGGCGCCGTTGGGCTCCATACGGCAAAAAGCCCCCCATGCATCTGGCCATCGATAGGGGGCGCCAGGATCCACCATACCTGGTACACGTGGTGGGGCTCCTCACATATTAACAGTATTTTACAAGAACCGATGTCCACCCTTCCTGAAGAAGCCACCGCAACCTCCCACGTGCACCTGACATTCTACAGTGACATCAACAGTGTTGTAGGCGCCTACCATTATCCGCTCCTCATCGGCGTGGGCAACAAGATTTCGTAACATCCGTACTCTCTCCCTCTCACCTGTAAAGCCATCTCCTTCTTCTATAAAAGGGGATGCGCTCCCTCCAAACGGAGGAGGACGATCTTCTTCGGGCTTAGATTCACTAGATCGATAGCTCGCAACCCCTCAAGCACACGCTTGAACACCTAGCTCATAGCGGAGTTCCGGTCGCCCTTGGCCCTTCCAGTCGGACCCGACCGAACCTCTCGTACACCCCTCATTTCTCTTTCTCGTTTGTAACCCCACTACAGACTTTGAGCACCTGGGCTCAGGAATAAAGTCTCCGACCGACCCACACTGGACGTAGGGCACGTTGCCTGAACCAGTATAAATCATGTGTCATTGAGTGCTAGGCCACCTCCGATCACAACGTACAACAAAACTACAAATATCCACTAGTTAGTCACTTTCTGTATCGACAATACGTGTTAAAAATCAGTTAGTAATTAGTTTGGCAGCCCTGACTTGTGCTGTCCACGGTTGTTCTGAATACCCACGATGAGAAAAAAATATTATTTAAAAAATAGTTTGGTTTATTATTATCTTTTTTTGATTTTTGATTTTAGTCTTGGGTCCCAGCTAGATCGGAAATATTGCCATCAGAATAGGTTGTTGTTTAATATAAGAAAGGTGAGATTTTCAAATTTGTGATTTTCAAAACAAAAAATTATTGCAAATAATTTAAATACCAATTAAATTAGTGTGGTTAAGAAGGGTCAATGCCAATCAGTTTGACTAAAACACTCTGCCAGGGAGTGGCACAGGGGAAAACTGAATTTTATCTTGCTTATCTAGTATGAGGGCATTTAAGTCTTTTCGTAGCTCCGTTAGCCACTGTTAGCAACCGAAATGGAGGGAATGGCGTGGAGAGCAAATAAATTTGGAGTAGTGACACATGTGACGACTCGAACTTTTTAATGGTTCGTAGACAATTACAAACCTCTATAATTGCACAAAGGTAAAACTCTCATCGGAGACAGGGCTAAGCGGCGGTGACACTTTTTGCGGGTCTTGCGGGTTTGTGTGGGAATTCACTTGTGTCCAATGGGTTTAGCGGGCTGAACGATAGTGGTCCGCAATCAATTGGCAGCCGGTCCGCAACAGCCGCATACAGCTATTTTGCGGGGTGGGGCGGGCGGGTAACGTTAAGAACACGCCCTTCTTATGTTCATCTATAACTTTGCGGATTTTGCTGGGTGAATGTGGTGCGAATTGTGATCGCTGAACATTTCTTGCTTTCACCAAGGAACGCGCGCGGCCCAGCCGACACGGAAAAGGGCAACAGCCAACAGAGAATCCACATCACAGCGCACACCAAATGGCATACGCCCACATGCTAAAGAGCTGCCAATGTATTTAACTCTTTTGGATAGAACTTCACATTTGCTACATCGAATTTCAAACCTAGAGGATTCGCAGACGACACGAACGCCGATTTGTGCTTGGAGAATTTAACTTCAAGCTTGTTCACTGAAACCAGAGGACACATTTCAGATTCATGGCCAGCAAAAGGCATGCATGGATCACAGGAAGCTTTAGCCATACAGAACAAACTAGGCCAGTGATAGTATTAACCAATCCCAGGCGATAACGCACGAGCACGACGCCAGGCCGCTCCGCGCCGCCGCCTGCCGGCGACGGTGGCTTCACGCCGGTTCTGACCGCCGCCGCCGCTGACGCTTCTGGTTTCTGAATTGGAACGACACGGTTTTTCTTGGGCCGTCCAAAAGCCCAGTGGGCTCAAAACACTAGGCGGCGCCAGCACGTCCTCCGACTACTCGCTCTCTCCGCCGCCGCCGCCCCGCCCTCCGCCGCCGCCGCCGCCCCCTTCCTCGGTTCGCCTCGTCGTCATCATGGGCAAGGCCTCCAAGGACAAGAGGGTACGCTACCTCCGCCTCTCCGCCCAGCTCCTCCTCCGCTCTTGCGTTTTCCCCGCTTCTCACCGGTCTGCGGTGCCGGTTGCTCAGGACATCTACTACCGGAAGGCCAAAGAGGAAGGGTGGAGAGCTCGCAGCGCCTTTAAGCTCCTCCAGATAGACCAGGAGTTCAACATCTTCCATGGTATCAGCTCGACCTACCTGCTTGCTCACCTTTACGTGCTTGTATGTTGTGGCTGACCTAGCTGTAGCAGACCACGAACGAACAGTAGCCATCTGATGAAAATTATCCCCTTTTTCCCGCAGGAGTGAAGCGTGTGGTTGATCTGTGTGCTGCTCCCGGAAGCTGGAGCCAGGTATCCTTGTGCCCGTGCCCAGTAACCCATCTTTACCAGAGTTTTTTCTTTTTTTTGGGTCTGATTGCTTGATTCCCTATTGTCACTTGTAGGTTTTGAGCCGGAACCTGTATGTACCAGCAAAACAGTCTCCTGATTGCAAGTAAGCGTCAGCGCCAGTGTGCCGCAGTCTGTTCTTGCGTAATTTTGTTGTGGATATCTGATGGCCTCGCTTTGCTCTTCTTGGTTCTGTTGTTTTATGCTACTAGGGAAGGCGATCTTCCTCTCATCGTTGCAATTGACTTGCAACCAATGGCCCCGATAGAAGGTGTTATACAAGTGCAGGGTGACATCACCAATGCCCGGACAGCAGAAGTGGTAAGATGGACAGAAAGAGGGGTTGATTTTTGTTGATGCAGTTAGCTGGCTGTGGCTAATTAGTATGGATTTGCTGTCAGGTTATTAGGCATTTTGATGGATGCAAAGCAGACTTGGTTGTTTGCGATGGAGCTCCGGATGGTAAGATATCATATCAGTGCAAGAGAACTACTCCTGCCATTAACTGCACCAAATTTTGTCACTGGTGAGGGTTGCATGATAACATGATTATTGCTCTTTGGGTGACTGCAGTTACTGGCCTTCATGATATGGACGAATTTGTTCAGTCCCAGCTTATACTCGCGGTTAGTTTTTATCCATTTGTCTATCTGCATCCAATTTGCGTCAGCATGTTCTGTCATTAATGATTCACATTATTTGTGGGATGAAGCTCAATTTTGAGTTTGGGTGTAGCAGCTATGTTGAACAACTACCTTTTTTTTACCTGATTTCTGGAGCTCCTTGCTCTTTGTCAATTATGGCATGACTTTATCATCTTCAGTTTGAATTGTCATGGTGGCTTCTGTTCTCTATTTAATTTATGTACCACCTTGCAATTAGGCATTGACTATTGTGACTCATGTACTCAAAGTTGGTGGAAAATTTGTCGCGAAGATATTTCGGGGTAAAGATACAAGTCTCCTGTACTGCCAGGTAACATTCACTTTGTTTGGCAAGATCTTTGCACCATCAGTTTCATGAGACTGTGCTGTTCTACAGTTCTCCATCATCATTAGTATGAAAGCTTTGCTAGTTATGGCTTATGACTATGTTATCCAGATATTTTTTCCCACATTGTGCCCCTTAACTTTGTAAATGTTTGGACAAGATGGTGATTGGGTTATTTATTCCTATCTGTTGCTTTATGCAGCTAAAACTGTTCTTCTCACAAGTTACATTTGCGAAGCCAAAAAGTAGCAGGAACTCAAGCATTGGTAAGTCTTATATCTTGTAAAAGAAGTTTCATACATGTGCTCCTTATATGCTTTCTCAACCTTGAGTGGTTTGCGCAACTTATGGTCATAATTCTGAAATTGCTGTTAGTTGTTGAACATATTTGGGTCATTTCTGTTAGGCAGCCTATTCCCTATATAGTAATAAGAATGTATATCCTTTCAGTTGGAAAATGTGCATGTGGTCTTTTACATTTGTTTGTCCTTTTTCATTTGTCAAACAGAGGCGTTTGCAGTTTGTGAGAACTATTCACCTCCAGAAGGGTTCAAAGAGGAAGATCTATACCACCTGCTAGAGAAAGTGGGGACTCCTTCAGGAGGTGACGATTTAGGTGAGGGCTACAAATGCTCGTACAACACTCTGCTCCCCCGACTGGGCACACCACATAATGACTTGATAGACAGGCCTACTCAGCTCTAATACCATTCGTCATGTGCAGATTGCAGAAGCGGATGGCTCGAGGGACCAAACAAGGTTTACATCCCGTTCCTTGCCTGCGGGGATCTCAGCGGCTACGACTCCGACCGCTCATACCCGCTCCCGAGCACGGACGGCGGCTCCTACCGGAGCTTGGACCCCGTCCAGCCTCCCATCGCCCCGCCTTACAAAACCGCCCTGCAGATGAAGAAGGCTTCCAGTCACAGTGCCAGCGCGGACGCCATGAAACCATCCAGACTCTTGAGCTGCAACCTGGGCCAGCCTGTTTTTGCTCCACCACCGTGGTAAACAGCGCCAGAAACTCTGAAACCCCCAGGCGATGATCTGTGTTCGGCTGGCTAGAAAAACTGTGTTCGGCTGGCTAGAAAAACGGTTGATGCTGATGCTGATTTGTTGTGAAAGAAAAACACTGTTATTTCGATAAAACGGTACGGCTTATCAGTCAAGCGACTAGGGCCGATGTTTGTCCCACACTGGTAGGCATTGAAGGTGAGGTGGAACATACTTTCGCTGGGTGGTGAACCTGGCGCTCTCCGTTTCGTGCGACAATCGTCGCTTTGTCGGTCCGCCCCTCCCTTGCGATACCGCGCGTCGTAATAAACCCGCGTGCGTTGTCTGCGGAGGCATTCGGTGCTGGTCGCATATCGCCCCATCGCCGCCGCCGCCACATACCACCCCGTCTACAGCGCGCCGCCGACCGACCCCTGCCCCGCCGAGGCCGACGCCCGCCCCGGTCCCGTCAAACAAGAGCCACGGACGCTCAGTTCCTCACCCGGCTCTCCCATCGTCGCCCTCACCCGCTTCCGATGTCCTCGCTGTCGCGGGCGTTCCTCACCGTCTCAACCGAGAAGGCCCGGCGAGCAGCTTCAAGGTAGGGCGCAGCTGGGGACGCGTCGTCGGACTCGTAGTTGGAGTCGCCAGCGAAGGAGTCTGCTTCCCATTGCTAGGCCTTGGATTTGCCAGCCGATGTGCAGCTAGGGAAGAAGGGGGTGGCGAGGGGAGGGAGGGAGAAGGTGGAGGAGGTGGCTGCTGGCGCCAGGGCGGTCGCAAGCAGGCTGTGGTGGCTGGGAGAGGGGGAGGAGAGAGACGCACGGTCTGCATCCCTTCCAATCTGAGAGGACGAAGCCGCTCTTATAGATCTGGCTGGCGATGGAGCTCTGGGGATAGCTGTGGGAGGGATCTGGGGGAGGATGGATGGGAAGAGCTTGGAGAGACGGGCTCCACAGACGGAGCAACCTCCGACGCGAGGGGCGGCGGCGGCGAGGCAGCGGCTGCTGGGGGCGGCGGCCCGGCGAGCTCCTGTGCGCCCCGTGGCCTAGGCGCACCGAGCTCCGCTGGCGTCGGCTGGAGGGTGGTGTTTGGGAGGCATGACGAGAGGGAGGACCTGGGGGTGGCGGTGGTGGGCGCCGGGGCCGCCGGAGCGGCCGCCGGCGCTAGGGAAGGCAGCGAGGCGGTGGCCTCCAGGGGTGCGTCGGGGTCCTACGGCCCGTTGGGTTTTCATGTGATAGGCCTCCGCAAATTCATCACTCTTGTCTTGCACTAATTAAACCCTTGGTTTCGAGCCTGTTGGATGTTCTATTGCTTGCAAGGATTGCTCTTCAAGTGGATGTTCTTGTGCTGCAATCCTGTATATTGCATTTTTTTATTCCCTAATTCCCTTCATATCTCATTGCTTGATCATTTTTTAATTATGCTTGGTAATACTAGGAGATGGCTGCTGAGATTGTTCAGGTTGTGGTGGGTACCCAGGATGAGAAAAAAAATAAAGATGTAATAATATTAGTTTAGCTTATTACCATTTTTGTTTTGATTTGGATGTTGTAGTGATGTGAGCTTTTGATATTAGATAGTAGGAGGTATCCTCACCATTTCTTGTAGGAGTTTTAACCAAAACCGTCATCTATGCTGGCAACCAAACAAACAATTATTTTCAGATACAATGTCACATGGCCAAGTTCTGAGCCAACCTGTGATTAGGCCACTCGATTTAGGAAACTATAGTATTTTAGGTTTCCAGTTAACTGGTTGGTTGCCAATATACTTGCATTAAGTCTCATTATTTATTTCCTGATTATTAATTTCTAAAGAAAATATCATGCTCTAGATGTAATTTGCTTCCTGCTATGTCATTGTCAATTATTAACAGTATGTTTCTTCAGAATAATTCCTTTATATGTTTGAGTAAATTAGTGCACTTGTTAGCTCATGTTAATGCTGAAAATGAGATGAAATGCAAAGTCAAGGGCATGAAACAATCTACAGATTGTGCTTGTGTTGTGATCCCAACAATGTTGCTCCAGATCTCAGAGGAACCATTGCTTCATCCTGTGGTCACTCTGGTGATGTACTGAACATATCATGGTCTAACAAGGTATGTCCAATGAAGTGCTCCCCTCTCATTTGTAAGGTTTACAAATTTTTTCTTTTGTCCTTTTCTTTCCGATGATTGAAATTGGCTACCTTGCAGCATCTATTGTCAGCATCAACAGACAAGACTGTTCGCTTGTGGGGATTGGACCTGCAAACTATGTTATTATTTTTCCATACAACAACTTTGGTAGGTCTGTAGTCTTTTAATTACTGCCTCAAAAGTTTTTCAATATGCATCTGAATTTAACCTTACAATTTCATTATCAAAATTTAATATTGCACGTGGCCACGGCGGCGCGGCCTCAGCCTCCGGTGGATGTGGTAGGGTAGGGAGAGAAGGAAGCGGCGAAGGAGAGGAGAACCCGCCGATCCGGTGGCAGAAGTGTGAAATTATAGGGAGTGGCACATTTGGGAAGGTGTATCTCGGCACGGACCTCGACTCTAGCGAGCTCCTCGCTGTCAAGCAAGTCCGTATGCTTCCATCTCGAAGCTAGGACTTTTGAACCGAGGAAACTTTTTGAGCAATTTGATGGATGTCATATTGTTTTCTTGATGGCAGGTTATGATTGGAAGCAGCAACGCGACAAGCCCAGGTGAGTACTTTTGCACTCAAATGTCCTGTTCGCTTGGCTGAAAAACCATGACTGAAAGTACTATTGGCTGATTTGTTGTGAAAGAAAAATATTATTCATTGGCTGAAAAAATACGGCTTATAAGCTAAACGAACAGGACGAAAAAATGCTTTGACTTTTATATTTTACTCAATTGTTCAAATTCAATCAATCTATCTATCTATTTATTCCACTCTAAAATGCTTATACGAGAGTCTTTTGACTAGGCACATGTAAGGGAGCTTGAGGACGAAGTGAAGATGCTTAAGAACCTCTCCCACCCCAATATTGTTGTAAGCACATTGTCATCTTAACATTGTTAGCCATTCTTTTGGTTGTGGCGTTTGGTCAATGCGGTGTTGTTTGATCAAAGATATATTGGGATGGTGTGGGAAGAAAACACACTAAATATTCTGCTGCAATTTGTTCCTGGAGGCTCCATCCGGTCACTTCATGGGAGGCTTTATCATCCCCGAGGCTGTAAGCATTACATATTCTACTTGCACTGTTATTGAAGCGACCTAATTTCCGCGAAGGGAAATCCATAGAGGCGAAGTATAATAAGATCGTTGTAGATCATATTACCCAAATTCCAGTCGAATATCACATCCATACAACGATAATATCAGAGTACAAATAGTGTGGAATTACATAAATTATTACATCGCCGCATTGGCGGAATCAAAAGTAGCATTCATTCAGAACAGCTTGAAGATAAGATCGCCAAACTCGAGCGTAGGAACGAACCCCTCAACCGTCAAACTCCTCGGAGCTATACTCCTCAGCAGAACCTGTGTGCCAAAATTTATCAGTACGATTTGTACTGGCCACTCCCACCCTATGAGCATTGCTTTGTGGAAATTGGATGCAAGTTGGATACAATAAAAAAGGAACCTATAAGGCTGGGGTTTCCTATGTTTTAGCATATCAGGTACATAATAATAGTTGGTCAAGTTTTAACACCATTCTCACACCCATTCCACCCCGTTCCCATTCCAGAGCAAGGTTTCAATCCTGAGATCGATATACCACCATCTCCACACCATCACCATACCACAACCCTACCATCGCTCAGTCGACAGGCCAACTCCCTCTCGGCACTGTCTCAAGGACCGTAGCCCCTGGCTACGTCCGAACACTCACTCCCGGGGGGGAGAAGAGGACTCATCTCACTATCTAGTTTAAGCGAAACCCAGGAAAGGTCCATAGCCGACAAGTCGGCATATGTATCGATCGATCAACCATACACTCTGCAGAAGTTTTTCATAACCACAAGATCCGCCTTCCTCGCTGACCGTCGTCAACTGGGCTGATTCCGGCCGCTTGCTAGCCTAGGATAATGCCACTCTACCATTCACCTCGTACACTCCAAGTCTAGTCTGGGTGGTCAAACTGTGAGTCATGAGCCGGGTCCACAAGGTCTTCATGAAGTCTCGGAAGGGTGTGGGGAAATCCTCCACGCCTGCACCTCCCTCACACTATCCGCTATCAACCTAGCAAGAGTGGCAATATCCTACCAAGTAGTCCGCCGTCCCGCACCATATAGGGCGAGTGGTACGTAAGGCTTCCGGTGAATCTGAGTACTAGTAAGTCCTTAGGGATGACCAAGCCGAATGTCTTCATCGTGGTTTCCATTCACCGTGCCACCACAAAGACCTCCACTCTGGGCTCCTTCCATCAGGATCACACCTGGGGCCACCTCATATACCATTTACCCACCACAGTATCCATTCCGGGGGTGCCCAGGTAGCACCCCACGGCAAGACTTGCCCCAGGCTCGTCGTATACTCTAACTTGGTCGACACAACCCTCACCCTCCACGCACCCAAGTCACACACGCAACACTCTCCCCATGGTCCAGATAACACCAGTTTCCACCACGCACCAATATAGTGCAAGCATAGTAGAAGTATTAAGCAAATGAAATATAATAGCAAGCGTGTGACTAGCCTAACAGCAGGGTGAGCAGGGGTAAGGTTGCGTCAAGGTAAAGGTCATCAAGAAAGCATACTACCATGCAAGTCCTATCACAGTGTGATTACGACAATAAAGTAAAGCACTAGCATTTCTATTTTAGCCATGCGTAATAGGTGCTACGAGGTTGGGTGGGATGTGGCACCTTCAGTGTAGTCGTCTCCGTACTCCTCACGGTACTCACGATCCTCGTCCGTCCGGTTCTCCCCCGAGTCTGCAAACGATCGCATTATAGTCGCGTTAGCGACGTCTATAGAATGGTACAAAGAAGCAATGAAAATTCAAAAGAGCCAAATGCACTCAAACATGGGTTCATTGCGTAGAGCTTGATTT